CCCAGTATCATAGTTTATGCAACAGCTGACAGCGTCTTTTGTCTCTTTTCTGGGACACAGTAGGTGCCACAATTGACCGTGCTCTCCCCTAGTTTGTAAACAAGTGTTTGCACAGGTCAACTGGTCACATTTCATAAGAGGAAGAATAGAATAAAACACATTTACTTGTAATACTGTTCAATTATTTTCTTTGCAAATGTGCTTACTGAGGATTTGAAGACTCAGAAGTGATATAATGCGTCCATTTACTGGGGAACTGCATTGCACTTTAACTGCTTCTAGCAGCAGCATCTCAAGCTTTCTAAGGGAGCCTGGTGGGACAGACCTGCAGGTATTTGAAAAAACAGAGGTCCTGGGATAACAAAGATTCTTTTTTAAAGGAAAAAAATCAGAATCTTACTGCATATGCTTAATGTTCTTCACAAGAGAAGAAAAAGATATCTTATGTACCTGCAACTAAAAATTTTCATTTTCCTTGATGTACAAAACATGAGCATATTTCAATATAGCAAAGAGAACCTTATAGAAGAGCACAGTTTTAATTGGTCATTTAAGTCTAAATGGTTATAATATGTTTAAATCGAATTGATTTTCTTTTAGGGTCCTCTGGGGCCTCCAGGACAAAAGGTAAAGTATAAACAATACTGTGGAAGTCATTGTGCTCCCGTCGCCTAATGGCTGAGCGTGAGGGGTGAGTGGGATTAGCTGCCGTGAGCCACACCGATGCGGTCTGGTTTATGCAGCCTGCTTTGCAAAAATACAGCCATATAATGTGAGCTGTTAGCTTTCTAATCGATTTCATTAGAGAAAATCCAGTAAATCCAGAGCAGACTCTTTTTTTCGCTGCCTGACAAACTTACAGGTTATTGAGTTTTTTGTTCAAATACTGATAAAATGTGACAATACTTAGAATGGGAAGGGTCAGACGACATTGCAATTTAAATGATTGCCAAGTGACCATAGAACTGACCAGAACAAAGGATGCACTTGTTGCTTGGTGACTGTATTCAAGTGGCCCACTGGTGTCTTCCTTTGCTGAGGTAACCTGAAAAGTGACTTCCTGATCGTCATTTCAGCATTATATGTAGTCACCAGAGTTGACCATTATATTCTGATGGAGAGGGTCTAGAATTTCTAAAATTACATCAATACTGCAGTAATAAATATATCATAGCAGGTAGATGGCCCTTTGCCAACAGAGTCTTACTAAGTCCCCATTGCCCAGTGCACCTCCCACCCCACAATGGGGAAAGGGGACATTTAACCTGTAGAAAACTAAAGAAAACAATTGTATTACAACAGGTGGAAAAGTGATTATCTTTATCTTTGGAATCCATCAAAGATAGAGACTTTTTATCCCCAAGCATCGGGCATGTGGCATCTGTTGAAACATAATCCTACAAACCAAGTAAAAGCCAACGAGTTGTGAGACAACTTGTGTATAGGAACACTCTGTCCTTCGCAATAATGTCTCTATTAAGCATGGTGTGAAATTGTAAAGCTATCCTAATCCACATGCAACCAGGATAAAATTACTGCCTCAGGCTCCGGGAAGTACTTTAATGACCCACTCAATAGAATCACTGGAAGCACTAAGGAACTCGCCATCTCAATTTGTTTTGCATATAATGACCATATTTTTAATCGACCTATTTTTAGAGCAGTTTTAGGTTTATCATTACTATTTTTTTTAAACTTTTTCCACTATTATTAAGAAATTTAATATCAGACATATACTAAGAAAAACCTGTTTTCTAGTGCTAGGCAAAGAATAAGCACATTCTCTCTAAAAATGGTTTCTCCAGAGCCTAAAAGGGAGGTGTATGGAAGGAAATGACATCACTATTTGAAAACATTTGTTAATGTTACTTATCCAGCTCAGTGTCAAGGATTTTCCTCAGGTAACAGCTTGCTTACTTTCAGTTCCCCCCACCTATGTCTGAGTGAGTGTGCACTTGTGCACACACTTAATATTTTATGTATGGAAGTGTTGTTTCTAGTCAGTGTTTAACATTTGTAACATCTTTTCTAGTCTATTTTTCAAGACATATTCACAATCATGTGGCTTAAACGTACTCCTTGAAAGCCTGGGGGGGGGGGATGTTGCAAATACAGTAAATTTGAATATACGACATGGGTCCCTTATTTGACTAATTGTGGAATAAGTAGTTGTTATTTAATTACCTTTTGTTTTATGGTATTTAAACTCATGAAATTCAAGCACTACTGCTACTGCTAAGTTTTTTCCAGATGGAACTAAGCCTATTTATTTTCTGAAAGCACTCAATTTAGAACCATGTGACCTTGTGATAGCCCCAAATCTCAATTTATGTGACTTTCTTTAAAAATCTTACTAAAGTTAAGTGGATATTTAGAAACATGGTTAAATTTAACTCCATAGTTTCTGCGAAAGCTTGATGAATCTGCTTACATTGCCATATGTTTGAACACCGTGTGTAAGAACTGAAAAACATAGCCTACCAGATATGTTTTAGCAAGGTAAAGTTATGGCTGGCATACCACTACAACTTACATTTAGAATTGAAATATTTTGTGATTGTGATATCAATTCAGTTTAATCATGTGTCTCCTTAGGGTTCTGTTGGAGCACATGGAATTCCAGGGATGAATGGGCAAAAGGTGAGTGCTATAGACTATAGTATTTTTGATCATTTGGAGATGACTAAAATTGCAAAATTATTCTAGCCAGTAATGTTAATAATAAGTTTATGTGCTTATAAAAACTCTACAAATGCTTTTGAAATATAGGAAAATTATGGTGTCAATGGTCGAATTAGTTTAATTTTTAAAGATGTATTAAGTAGTCAAAAACTCTTAGAAAAGTTTTCACTTTATTTTGATAATTTATATAAGAGACACACCTGTATCTTTCTCATAAATATATTATGGAATAGGGAAAATGTTATGTTTAACATAAATTGTGATAAATAAAATGCACTCTAGTTATTCTTGTCACGGCAAAAGCAATATGCATTCTTTTTCATTAACAAAAGTTATTCTTAGAGCGGGAATCTATTGAACTCTGAATCCAGAAACAAGCTCTTTTTACTGATAAGCAAAATTAGGAGTTAAACAGACTCACCAAGCTCTGGTAGTACACTTTTATTATACTGTTAATAATGAGCGGGGAGCAGAAATAAAATTTAAAAAAAACCCACAGCTCTACAGAGACATATGTATGTACATGTGTACTTTTACCCTGCAACATACTAGTTGGAAAAAGCACCTCGCTTTATCCCACGGTGAGGTGAGGATTCTGCTCTCCCCAGCAGTCCTGACTGGCTCTTCATCTGGAACCTCTGCAGGGACCAGGAAAGCTGCGGTGGCACCAATAAAGTCCCTAGCTGGGCCAGTGCCCTGGAGCCAGGGAGCTGTGCTAGGGACTTCGCTGTTTTCCTCAGAGGTTTGGGACTGGCTCTGTAAAATCCTGTGATCCATCAGCTTCTCTTCCCAGATTTAAAATCCACGCACTCTGGATTGAATTCTGAAATCACAAGGACCCCAACCCTTACAGACAGAATAAACTCCCTCACGACCGCCTCCAATTCATCTTTTCTTCTCTACTAAGATATAAACAGTCACAGTTTAAAATCTGCTGAGTGGATCAGAGCACGCTTAGAGACAGTGTGAGTTTTGGCCAAGTCTTTGAATTCTGTGGCCTCAGTTTCCTCATCTGCAAAAAGGAGACAATAGCAACGCCTACCTGATAGGTCAGTGTGAGGATTGAATGAGTAATAAGTAGGCATAAAGCCCTCATGACAGTGATGGAACTATTAAGCTTTTCCTTCAGTGCAGTTTAGTGAAATTCTGGAAATGTGATGGCACTGCGTTTGAGAAGAGGCACTCTGTTTCCAGAATTGCTCAGTTCCCAAGTAAAATGAATGTTCTCAGTAATGAGGCTCATGGTCTCCGTGGGCCCCCGCAGCACACCCACGCGCCCCGCAGCGCTGTCTCCCCGGTACAAAGTGCAGCCGTTTGCTCCACAGATCCTGGTGGGGGGCGATTAACTTTCCGTTTAGAAGGAGGGAAACGGGAGCAAAACTTCGAAAGTGTATTCACTCGAAGATGAATTTGAAAATGACATAACATAGGATAATATTTAGAAAGGACTAAAGGTGGATCTAGCATAAGTGTTGTTTTTAACATTGGTGAGAAACAAACCGTGTACCTAAGGTCAGTGTTTTCCCTTTTCTTCTGTGTTTCTTTTCTTCTTTCAACTATGAGACACTCATGAGAATTTATAGAAACCTTTAACCTGAAACAAAACCACTTTAAAACTGTCACATACATGCTTATGAAGACTGCATATTTTTTTTATTTTTGCAAAGGAAATTTGCAATTTCCTTAGCAAGAGAAAGGAATGTGACATTTTCTTGTCCTAGTCACCAAGTTTAAATTATATTTCAAGGAATAGACAGTTCATATTTGCAGTTCTCTGTCATGTTATACATCTCTGTGGCATTTAAAATGTTTTCTGTAAAACCTAGGAAAGCTAAATGATTTCACACTTTTATGAAGATATCAGCAAAATGTAATTTAAAATTGTTTTCCCTACTCAGTAGAACTTAAGATTTGGGGAGTGGAATTTCTGTTAATCCTAGCCATGATCTAACATTCATAATATTTGGTGGATCATCTTTAGGAAAATAAAGTGCAAAAAACTCAGTCCTCCGACTGCAACTACAGGTCATTCAGACAGTAAAACAAAGTTGGAAATAGAGTTCCATATGCAGAGCATATGAAATATGTGTTGGATCTCTAGAATTTGTTTCTCCAAGAAGACAGCTTACAATGACAAAATTTTTTCTTTACAAAAAATAAAAACACCTCAATGTCTTTAAATTGTCTTGAGAAAACATTTTTTCCACATTGCAATTTTACTTTTTCCAACAGTATACTTTTAATGCTTAGAAAATAATTTTCAGACAATGGTTAAGGAAAGATACAATTTCTAAGCCATCAGAAACATGCCCAATAACAACTAGAAAATAAAATTATTTTTGTCCTATAAAAATGAAAGAAAAGTAAACCACTTTAAGGGAATGTTTTGTTTGTTTTCTACTAGAACATTTTCCATCCATACAGATTAATGAAATTGGTGATTGGCTTGGACTAATCAATTTCGGGGGAGACTTTTTTTATTGTTGTTGTTGATTCTCGCCCAAGGTTATTTTTTCCATTGCTTTTCAGAGAGAGTGGGGGAGGGGAGAGGAGAGAGAGAAACATCGATGTGAGAGACACACAGGTTGGTTGCGTCCCACACATGCCCTGACCGGCCCCAGGCAGGGGTCAGACCTGTAAGCCGGGTACGCGCCCTTGACTGGGAAGCAAACCCGAAACCCTCTGTGCGCCCTCCAGCGCTCTAACCGCTGATCCACACCAGCCAAGGCAAGACATTCTTTTTTACTTTATATTTTTTTTACGACTTTCCTTTAAATTTTGGTCACCTTGATGACCAATCTGAGTATTTCTTATTTTTGTAATGGTCTTCCAGTTCTGCAGATCGTATTAGGAAAGAAGACACGTAAGCAGTAGCATGGCATTCAACTCCGCTCTGATCTAGCTCTTTGTGGCATCACAATCTGCAAGGGGCCCCTAAGCACCCTTCTGTGGGCAGGGGGAGGCTGGCGGGACAGAGGGGAGGCCTGGACTCTGCAGGCGGAGAGAGCCAGTGCTTCAGGTCCCTGTCCTCCACTTGGCAGGTTACGGAATGTTCCTAAGGCTGGGGGGTAGATACAAATGCAGACCTTGCAGTGGCATCTAGATGACATCTCTAAAGTGAACAGACCATAGTAGGTGCTCAGTGATGTTATCAAGTGTCTATAATAGTAGCATCACCTTCAAGAGTTTCAGCAAGTGAGCCCTAGGCTCTCTCTCAGGTAGGGAGCAGAAGCCAGTCCACTTCATGAGAGGGAGAAAATGAATATGCAGAATTACACATAAATATAATATAGAATATATATAGAATATAAATATAAAGTATTTCTCGGTCCCCTGCCCCGCTCCCCAACAGGCCCCACACTAGGCGGCTGGATGTTAGTGCTGTGGATATGGGAAAGAAAGGCTGGACTCATGTTACCCAGAGGCCCAGCCCCCGGCATGGGGAAGTGCAGGAGCTGCCCTGGGGCCGGACACTCTGGTCTTCCACCTTGGGTGCAGCCTTTGAAAGGCCCTTTCCTCTCTGAGTCAAGCACCTTCATTTGTAAAATGAGAGGGGGCACTGTGCTAATTTATCTCTCAGTCCCTAGGTGATACTGTGTATCTGCAAAATGATCACCCACATCTCATTCACAATACAACCAGCTTCTAGAATCCTTTGTGCCCAGTTCTGAAAGTTGTTTCCATAATTTGGATTTGTGTCTAACGAATAGCTGAAGCAGTTAGAGCAGATTTAATGCCGTCTCACCTGCAAACATGAAATGTTGTCTTCTTCTTTTCTGGCTTACTGTATTGGACACAAATTTTTTTGTAATTCTCATGAGGAGATCTTGTTGGCATAGGTATAATTAACATTTTATTTGTACTCCATGGTTCCTTTTCTCTCTCCCTCTTTCCCTTCCTCCCCCCCCTTATCCAAATACACAAACACACACACACACACACACACACAGATATGTACATCTGAATATTTGTCAATTAAACCCTACTTCTCAAATATACTGGAGAAGTATATGGGTCTTTAAAAATGATTTTGTGGTAGACCTTTTTTAAACTGAAGCATCCTTTGACAAAATAAATTGCTGTCTACAATATATATGTCAGAACTTCTAAAATTTCAACCCTTAACAGTTATTAGAACCCTATATTTTCTACTCTTTCTGCATTTTCACATTAATTGGCATCCATAAGAATANGTTATTAGAACCCTATTTTCTACTCTTTCTGCATTTTCACATTAATTGGCATCCATAAGAATAAATCATGATGATGACAACTTATTTGGATAGCAGTCAATGCCCTGGACTGTACAAATGTCATAAAAGAGGAGGTCTAGGGAGAGGAATAGGGTATAGTAGGGTCTAATTTGTGCATCTCTTAGTTCACACCCTTGTCTCTTTGTTACTGTGAAAATAACATTAAAGATTTTCAAGATTAAAAAAAATTATTTCTGTCTGAGCAAGCTGGAATTTTTCTGAGGTCCTAGAGTCATAGGGATTATTTCCAAAGCAAAAGATAAATATCAAGTGATCTTGTTTCATGTATTTTTCAAGTGTTCTTAGAATTTATTATTTTTAAGACTCCACAATAAAATATAAATTAAAAATTGCTATTAGTGTACCATCTATGACTCTATCCCAGATAGCAATGTGATTTTTAAGTCACATTAAATTTGAATGAGTTTATAGTTATGGTATTTAGACTTTCTTTTCATCTCTTATCCCTGGGTCTCACAGTTCTTCACTGACATTCATCCTCACAGCATACTTCTAGTGGCATTTTTATTGTAAGTATATTTAGAGAACAGATAAATTGAAGCTCTTTGACTTCCAAAGGTCAAGCTGTTTATTCAAGTCTATACAGGGGGCTATGCAATTAACTCAGTATTTTTTATTCTTGATTTACTTACTGTAACCACTAACTACCCTCTTTTCTTTGGCTACTTTGACTCTATCATTAAC